TAACTGCCCCCAATTCCGATGTAGGTCAGAAAGAGTCATATCCATGAGTTTACCATGTGCCTTTACCCAAAGAGATGCTTGAAAATAGCATCTGATCCCAGAATTCATGATGAGAAAAAACACCTAATATTAAAAATTCTTAATTTTATCTCCTACCAGATTGTCGACAATCCTACAAACATAGCCCTTTCTGCAGCGGTTTTGCCTCCTTTTTTTACTCCCTCCCCCTTAAAATGAGAATGAATAGAGCACTCTGCCGAGTGTGTTGCATCTGAATGGATCCCAAAAAGGCCAAATAGCCTTATCCACAAACTCCATATTAGATCACATTGCACAAAAAGGTGACTGTGTTTCCCACTCAAACATGAGGAGAGAGCTCGATTTGGTTGACGCTTTTCTGGTGGAGTATCGAACCTGTTAAGAGGAGTTGCCCATACCAACACTTTAGTCTTAGAAGCAAACTTACTCTTCTGGAACACATTAACATAAGGAATCTTGGCTCCCGGGGCTAAACACCTAAAAATCATTCCATTTGCCGGGGCTTATCAAAGAGGAAGAAGGAATTTGTTGTTCAGAATTAATTGTAGTTCTAGGTCTTGGGTGTTTATGGGTGTTTTATATTTGTACATGTGGGTTAGTATAGTATGTATGTGAACATTATAGAAGAAAATTGTTAAAAGTGTTAGTACTTATTTATTCGAGAGATCATAGGGTTCTCTCTTAGTGAGCCTTAATTTACGTGCAAAATAGGTAAAGATAGGAAAAACTTAAAAACACTTAACAGAAATTGTTTCTATGTAAACCGAATAACTATATCTTTTAGTGGGGAACATACCATGATGCTATACTTCTATTAGTAGCACTTCCTGTTGATGGAGCTACTTCACCTTTTTCTCCTGCTTGAAGTGATCCTGATTAACAGGGAATTCAAGAACTAGTCTTGTCAAAGCAATTGTTATTCTGTATGCTGCATCTTCATCTGTAATTGAAGTGGAAAGAAACATAAACAATTGTGACTGCCTGATAGTTTTCAAGTATATGTCTTATAGTGTGATTACGTGGAACATCTTTGGAAGAGTAACCTTCTGTATAAGTTCATAAGCTATCTTAAGTACCCTTATGAAGTCTTGGGATGCCTACTCTGAAAACAAGTAGCAATTTCCTTTACTGGATATTGTTGGAAAGGAAAATTTCACCAAATATCTCCATGACTGAGGACAATATCTAGGAGATACTATAGAAGAAACCAATTGATAAGTAATTGATATGAATATCAAGAAGCAATTCGCACTTGTTTTTTATTATTTCTTAATAGCTGAAATGATGGTTCTTACAATTTTTCTGTTTTTCCATTTACTGTTAAGTAGGTTGCCTATCCATATGTTGCAAAACGTCTCCTAACAGACCCAAATCCTGCCCTTCGTGAACGTCTTATACAGGTTTGTCTACTGGCATTTTCATTCTGAAAGCATGTGTTTTCAAGTGTTTTGCTACACATCGACTTTTGTGTTTCTGAATTGAGACTCAGGACTTTCTTTCTTTATATGGTAGTTTTTTTTGGGTTTTTTTTCTCTTATTTAGAGAAATTGTCACTTCTTGCTGGTGTGTAATATTTTAGTAGCATCTTCAAGATTTGATTTTGGTAAGTAAAAGATACCAAGGAGAACTGTTGCTGAACATCTGCAACTGAATCTGGTTATTAGGTTGAACTCAATTCAGTTAATATTTTCCCAGCTGTTGTATCAAGGCAGAAAGTAATTCGTGCATTTGCAACTTTATGGTTTTCTGTTTGTCTCTCACTTTATTGCTCAATAAATTAATCGGTGAAATTGTTATTTTCTAAATTATAAATTAACTGGTGATTGTCTTCATTTTGTTTAAGGTTTTATTTAAAGATGGTGTCTTCCAGTGGAAACGGCTCGAAAACCTAATTGTCCTTGCAAAGGAAAATGTGGCCAAGATGAGCAGTAACCCAGCGTTCCGAGTCAAGAACATGTGTGTACATGCTCCACCTGCTTGTTCTGTGTATTCTTTGGCTTCAGGGCTGTTGAGAAACTATGGTTAATTTCATATTTTTGTCTTAGCAGAGAACATTCAAGGAGCTGGCAAGTGCAAAAAAAGCTAGACCTTACAGACACCATTAAAGATGGGGCTCGTCTTTTCCTATTTGATGAAGGAATCCGTAGACAGCTTATTCTTGCTCTGACTGAAGACTCCAAGCTTCATGTACAAGAGGTTTGTAAATGTGTTAGCATTATCCTCTTGCCAACTTCAATAGCATATGCACGAGACTTGATAAACCACTGATGTAATTTGCAGCTTGTGGATGTATATAGACTGGTTGAAGATGAGATAGATATTCCCTCAGTTGCAAGGGAAGTTGTACAAGGTAAATATTTGTTGTATCTCATCTTCACCTGTTGCATACTTATTATTTGTTTTCTGAGAAGGCCAACTAAATCTTAAAACCCTGAATAATTATCCGATAACTTGCAGATCTTCCCAACGTTGTTCGAGATCTCATGCTTTCCTGGAGTAACTCTGTCCTATCAGATAGATGATTCGAGTTTGGAGAAGCAGTATGATAATGCAAATATCTATAATCCACCTGAGAAGTATTGTAAAACACACTTAGGATGGTATTCTTGGTCTGATTTCTTCCTACAGGAGATTGTTTATTAAGTAGCAAACACAAAGAAAATGAATTAAAATTGAAAAACATCCTGAAAACTGTATAGAAAATTATTCCTCCGCCCTTTTACCCCCATAGATGTACAGGAAGTTATTTATACAGGGAAAATACTGAAAAAATTGTTGCAGAATGGAAAAATTATATTAGTCGTAACTTATTCTATGTTCAGTTCAATTTAAGTAATTTTTATCATTTCTCTGTTTTAAAGTAGAAATACAAATCCACCATTATGCATACATAAAATATATAACTAATGTTAAAAATCTATAAATAGAAACATACATAGCATGAGTATTTTTCTACCATCAGAAAAAAAAAAAACCTGACTGTTATTGTTAGTCAAGCTTACAACAGTACTGGTATGAATTGCATTCTTTTATTGACGGAAAATATGTACCCTCAGTCTTTTTAGTTAAATGAAGTCAAGGTGGTATCAGAAATGGTAGCATATTAAAAGTTCTTTATTCAAATAGAGAAATTAAAAAAATCAGTACTGCTCAAAGGATGATCAAGGACCATGTTGGTTAAGAAGCTTGTGGATGTGGAAAAAGGCGAACGATCATGTTAATTAGGGTTTTGTTGATTATATGTTTTTAAGACTTGACTTTAGGGTGAAACAGAGGAAGTAGATGAAGGGGTGTATATCTACAACTTCGTTTGCAATAATGATCAATGGGGGACCCTCCACATTTTTTCAAGCTTCCCAAGGTGACATGATATCCGAAAGGCTCGAAATCCATCCAGAAGGTGAAACTCGTAAAGACCAGGGTACACGCAGACATGAAACCCAGTCGCAAGAAGCTGGCCGTGTCGTGCGTGTGTATTCGGCCAGCATACTGCGCGTTGCTTCACATAGCAGCCCGCATGTTGTGTGCATGCGGCCCAAAACCCGGAAGAGGCCGCAGCCAAGAAAGCATGCCCAAACCTGAGAAAAGAGATATAGCCCGCCTAGACAAGAAGACCCCAGTCCAAAGGAGCTCGGACGGCATGAGATGGCTCCTTAATGCCATCAAGAAGGGCTGGCCCAATCGGCCTCCAACTAGACCAGTCCAACACGATGATGAAGAAGGCGAGACGTGGACGAAGGCATGCAGGATTTCCTTCCTGCACAAGTGAGACGTGAGCGCGAAGGAACAACAACCCGCAAGGACTCTTCTTCAAATTCTCCATATGTTGTTGTTTTTTTTTTTTTTTTTGTGATTAATTCTTCAAAGAATTATGCTGCAAATTAAAAAACAAATTATAGCACATGGAAAAGGAGGAATTTATCTACTAAAATTATATTAATAATATTTTAAATTTAATTTTATGTTTTATTCTTAGAATTAAATATTCATCATTTTAATATTAGGATTAGAATAAGTTATTATTTTAATAATATTTTAAGTGTATTTTAATATTAGGATTAGGATAAATTATTATCTAATTAGAATTTAGATTATTTTTCAAGTATTTGTATTCTACACAAACTGTTTATGTAAAAATTTATTAAAAAACTTCATCATAGACTATAAATCACATATATAAGAATTAACTAAATAAAAAATTTTGCTTTAAATTAGCTGTGCTATTTTTCAAGTTCTTCAGACATCTTCAAGTTAAAGAGCTTCAAACTGCTTCGATGAGCGAGAAAACGGAATAAACTTATCGAATAAGCCGTGACATCTTTCTTTATTTTTTTTTTTAAAATTTTTTCAGTCATCTATATGAGTCTTCAATATGTTGATTGTGATTTCAGTAGATATGATTTAATTTAGGTAGTTAAATTTTGAATTGCGAAATATAGTGGGTTTATGATCGAAGTGTTTTCAATATGTGGAGTAATCGTTCTCCACTCAACGTCATTTGGTATCAAAGTTTAGACACCTTATTAAGCCTACTATATTATCTTACTTTGGATTGTGTTTTGCATAATTAGCAATAAAAACATCTCGTTGCTAATCCGTATTGCTTGTGAATTTTCATCTCACTTGATCTTATCTTATTCGTTCTTTCAAGTGGTAGTTTATTTGGGATGTTAAGAAAAAAAAAAAACAAAATCATACAAAATCCACCGTGTGTGTGTGCTCCTGCTGTATGTTGCATGTGTGTGCAGTCTGCTTCATGCGCGCGCTTCTCCTGCATGTGTGTGGCAGGCTGTTTCACACATGTGCATTGCTTGACATGCAGGAAAACTCGCCCACATGCCTATAGGCTTTCTTTATGCGAGTGACAGCCCCGCAGTTGTGTGACCTTCTTCTCGCATATGTGGCTGCTCGCTGGTGTGTCTATGAGCACGTTCATAAGCGTGATACGTTCTTCTACCTTATTTCCAAGGCCGGATGGCCCACTTTGGTCTCTCTCTCGGGCTTCCCATTCTTGGGCTAACATATTGAACACATGTTGGAATTTCTTGGCTCGACTTTTTGTGATTGGTCCGCAAGGCACTTGAATTTTTTTTTCCAACTCTTTGAGTCTGTCTTGGATATCTTTAGTTTCCGTGTTTGGTTCTTGAGACTGAGTTTCTTGCTGGTGTTGCTTAAACTCACATTATCCTCCCATTTTCAAAAAGATTTGTCCTCAAATTTTCATCTACTTAAAAAAGAGAAAGATAAAAAACGTTAAATATAATAGACACACCATACTCACCTAGTAAGTCGATTTTGTAGGCGTTATTGTTGACCTGTTCCAAGACTTAAAATAGTCCGTACCACCTAGGATCCAATTTTGACTTTCGTAGTTTAGATAATCTTTCTTTCCACATGTGAACCCAAACCCACTGTCCTGGTTGGAATACAACTCGTTTTTTCCTTTGTTGGCATGTCGGACATAAGACTCATTTTGCTTGTGGATATGTTGTCGTGCCTTTTCGTGTATGGTCTTAATAAGTTCCGGCCTCTGTTGCCCATCTGTATTGCTAATTTCCTACAATAGTATGTGTTAGATCAAACAGAGTTAAAGGATTAAGACCATAAACAATTTTAAAAAGTGAATAGTTTATGGATGTATGAATGTTATAATTGTAGGCAAATTCAATCATAAGTAAACAATCTTCCCAAGTCTTCAAGTTTCGACCAATCATGGCTCTTAATAGGGAAGTTAAGGTTCTATTGACCATTTGTCTGAGGTGACATGCGGTGAAAAATAATAGTTTATTTCCTACTTTTTCTCACTAGACTCTCTAAAAGTGATTAAAGAACTTGACATCCCTATCACTTACGATAGTTGTAAAAATGTCATAGAGTCTCACAACATCCTTAAAGAGCAAATTGGTAATATTTGTTGCGTCATCAGTTTTATGGCATGTAACGAAATGTATCATCTTGTTAAATCGATCTACTATAATAAATATGTTGTCATTACCTCTCCTAGTCCTTGACAGCCCTAACATAAAATTTATGGAAATATCTATCCAAGATGTCATAGATACAGATAACGATGTATACAGTCAATGGGGTAAAACTCTAGATTTTACCTGTTTACATGCGATGCATGGACTGCATATACGTTCAACATCCATTTTTATGTTGGACCAATAAAAGTGTTGATATAAAATGTCTAGAGTCTTGGTTACCTCAAAATGACTCATGAGTCCTCTATTATGCATTTTGTGTACTAGCAATTCCCTAATTGAACAGTTAGGTATACATAACTTACTATCTGTAAGAAGGAACTCTTTGTATTTATAATATTTTTAGAATGCATAGTGCTTACATGCATGATAAACAGTAGAGAAATCCTTGTTAGTGGTATACATTTTCTTGAAATGTTCAAATTATAGGAATTTAGAACTTAGAGTAGTAATTAAAACATACCTCCGGGATAATGCATCGGCCACAACATTATCCGTATCCTGTTTATACTTTGATAACATAGGGGAAAGACTCGATAAATTTTACCCACTTATCGTGCCGACGGGTGAGTTTATCTTTATCATTTCGGATAGTCACTTGTGCATGCCTTGAACTTTTAGATCTTGTTAGGAATTTTTCTTGTAAATTACTTCTAACTTGCAAGATTCCGGTTCAAGGAGATCCCATTTTCAACATTCAACTTGGCAGGTAAAATTTAAACTTGTGAGTGGTAAAATATGAATGATAGTAAATCAAGAAAATGAGTCTTGGAACTGAAACACTAGCTCAACTTTACATGAGAATGTGCTATGCTAGACCATAATATTAATCGAATTATTTTCACTATTTTTTTAGCTTCCTTATTTTCACTAGGTTCAATGAGTGATGATGAAGTAGATTTAAAGAAGAATCTTTTCGAAAAAGGAGAGGATGACATGATATCCGAAAGGCTCAAAATCTATATGGAATGTGAAACCCGCAAAGACCAAAGTATTCGCAGACATGAAGCTAAGCCGCTAGAAGCTGGTTGTGTTGCACGCGTGCATTAGCCCAACATGTCGCGTGCGACTTCACATGGCAACCGGCATGTTGTGTGGGCGCGACTCAAAAGTTGGAAGAGACCATGGCCAAAGAAGCATGCCCAAATCGGAGAAGAGAGATCCATCTTGCCTAGACAAGAAGACCCAATCCGAAGGAACTCGGACCACATGAGGTGGCTCTTTGATGCCATCAAGTAGGACTGAGCCAATAGACCTACAACCAGATCAGTCTAAGACAATGACGAAGAGGATGGGACGTGGACGTTCGGTGAAGCATAAAAAGCTGAATAAGAATGTTGAAGCTCACGGCCTTGCACAAGCAAGAGGCCTTGTGCGATGGACTGGGCTTGCAACCATGCAAGAAGCCCAACCCATGCTTGAAGGAGACACATGCGCATGCGTGTGCGAGCAAAGCAGCCTGCAGGGCCAGGATAACACGCATGTGGGGCGCGCACACAAGGCAGGCGGGAGCGTGGGCACAGACCACCTTGTACATTGCACACGTGACCTACCCCGCCCCCAGGATTTTCCCTCTCACGCGGGTGAGGAATGCATGATTTCTTTCTCGCACAAGTGAGGCATGTGTGCAAAAAGGAACAACAACCCGCGAGGACTTTTCTCAAATTCTCCATATGTTTTTTTTTTTATTAACTCTTGAAGGAATTCTACTGCAAATTAAACAACAAATTATAACACATGGAAAAAAAGAAATTTATCTACTAAAATTATATTAGTAGTATTTTAATCGTAATTTAATTTTATGTTTTATTCTTAAGATTAA